GTCCCTCACTGTGCGATCACCAGCGGCGAGTGTGCCATCCCCTCCTCAGCTGGTTTCTGCACAAATAAATACTGGATGGTTTCACGATTATCCTCAAGTAAAATCTGCATATCTAAACTTTCAATAGTCTTTTGCTTTCTTAATTCTGGATTATTTTTTCTATCTTCTACATAAATATACAGTATTTTGAAATAGACCCTAACATTTTAGAGAATACTAGTTGTAAATCATTTTAAATTTAATATAAGATAGAGAAGTAAATAATAAAATAACAATGTGGCAAGTCATCCCTGGTATTATAAAACCTTGCTGTGGAAGTTACTGTGGATGGTTTTTCTCTGTGGAATCACAGGCCTAGGATATTGCTTGTGCAGGTGATATTGGGCAGAAGTATGTGGTTGAAAGAACAGAAGGTAGGAAAGCCTATCTTTAGCCCTTCATTTACTACTCTTTTTTAAAAATTTTATTTAAAGAAACACTAAACAAAACAGAAAATGGGTAGAAATAATACATATGTTCAGAGAAAAAAATGAACAGTAAGAAATCACTAGTTGATGTTTACATACTGTCCTCTAACAAATAGTTATTCAAGATACTAAAGTGGAGCATATAAAGTGGGGATTCAAACAGTGGGACTGCAATCAGTTCTATTCAACTATCCAACAAAACCTTAGAAATATGGTTATCAATCCTATACACTTAAACATACATGCAGTTATCCATATCTTCAATTATGTTGAGACTGAACAAACCCAAGTGGGCTAATATCACTCTGAGCAAAGAATAATACTATTGCTGGGTTTCACATTATGACACTCCAGGATCAGCACTGGGTACTTTAGTGTCTCTTTTTCTTCAAAGTATCTGTTCATTTCATCATGTGTCATAAGATCAGTTCCCATACACTGTTTATAGATTCTACACATGCATGAGTCTTAACATGTATTTTTACCCTTTCTATATTAGAGGGAAAAACAAAACAAAGCAAGGCAAAACAAAACATACTGCTATAAATACATGAAACGAAAAAGACATATAAGACCACTGTACAAAGAGTTCTACCATAGTTCCTGGGTTGTCTCTTGTTATCTTCAATAGAATTGGCTATATCATCAGACATAGTATAATTGAATATATCAGTACATACCAGTATTAATAAAAACACAACTTTGTATATAGTATAAAACTTCAAAAACAGGCAGTAATGAAACCAGAATGTGTATTGTAGAGTCTTGTCACCTTTAGTGTAGTTGCCTGTACTCTCAGACTTGATACTATCAATCATATCAGTTTTGAATAAAATATGTCAATACCAAACAGCAATCAAACAAACCAGATTTAATGAAGATCAGTCAAGATAAAACAGTCATACAGGGCTCCAGATTAAGATAATAGGAAATTAAAGATGATCACTGTCCTATATCCTGATGTTTTTGGGATAGCTGTCTGTGCCCTCAAATCTAATGCAAGTAGACAAACTGGGACAGAATAAAATCTATCTAAGCAGAGTGGTGCAACTAATGTGGGTTTTAAATCCTGATACACTATTAACAATATATTCTGCCATCTTTTTAAGACTCTCCCTCCTCTTTCACTTCCCCAGGGTACACTGTGCATTTTTGGGTCTAAGACCCTTGGTCTTAAATTAGGTAGGAGGGACAACCTGCTATTTACCTAAGTGGTTCCAAACCTTCTCTCTCCTGGACTTGATCTCTAATTGTATTCCTTTACCTATTAAAGCCTGTCTTTCCATCCTATCCACAAATACTGGTCTGGTTGCCCCTATTACTCTCTGGTTCTCTGTCACATTGAGCATTGTTTTCTCATATTTGATTTTCAGTCCATGTCCTCTTTTTCATGTTAATTATATTTCCTATAAATAGCATCTAGGTGGACCCTGCCTCCTGATCTACTCCACATGTGGTTCTTTTTTTTTTTAAATTTAGTATATTAAGGTCATCTGTATTAGAGTTTATAACCAACCTTCTCTGCCTCATTTCTGTTATGCTCTTTTTTTGCCATCAGTTGTCTGCTTATCTTCTTCATTCTGTTTTCTGCTCCATTCGCTGAGGCCTCTCTGCCACTGTTCCTGGAATCCTAGTACTTTTCTCCCTCTCTAGAATGCCCTGCAATATTCTCTGTAGAGTTGGATTGGTGGTTGTGAATTTCCAAGTTCCTCTTTGTCTTGGAAGCATCTTGTTTTTCCATTAATTTCTAGAGACAGTTTAGCAGGGTATATCAATCTGAATTGGAGGTTATTTTCTTTCAGGGCTTGGAATATTTCACTCCAGGCTCTTCTTGACTTGATGGTTTGTATTGAGAAGCCTGCTGTGATTCTGATGGGCCTTCCTTTATAGGTGATCTGTTTATCTCTAACAAATTTTAATATTCTGTTTTATATTGAATTTCTGGGATCTTGATTATGATATGCCTGGGTGTAGCTCGGTTTTTGTTGTAGGTGGCTGGAGTTCTGTATGCCTCATACATCAGGATATCATTTCCTTTTCCTATGTTTGGGAAGTTTTCCTTAATTATTTCTGTGAATAGCCTTTGTAGCTCCTTTGTTTATATCCCTGCTTCTTCACTGACTTTCTTTATTCTCAAGTGATAGATCCTCTTGTCTTCTTCTAGCCTTTGTATTGTTAGTTTTTGTTTCTTTGTTATTTTTTAAAAATTTTCCCTTTCATAACCCCACATTGCAAAGCTGTCCTCCAGTTTGGATAATCTCTCCTTAGTTTCTGTCAAGCAGATTTGCCATCTTTCCATAGAGTTTTTAATTTCCTGGTAATCTCTTTGAATCTGCTTCATGTATTCTATATTTTGTTTATATTCTTCATCAAATGGTTCTCTCCTTTGTTTGAGTTCCTCCCTTCTTCCATCTGTGTCTGCATGAGGGGTGCTTAGTATCTCTTTTATTAATCTTCTTATATCTTGCTTTACTTGGCTAAATATTTCACTTTTGAACTTGTCTATGAGGTCCCAAATATATCTCTTTATGTCCACTGGTGCCGTGTCTGATATTGCCTATTTGCTGTCCTCATTCTCCTTTGTATTTACCTGTCTTGGGTCAGTGTTCTCAGGGTTGGGACCTGGGGACTTTTTGTTGTTGCTTCCTCTTCCCATCTTTTTTGTTTCTTCCAGGAGGCCCCGGATTCTTTCTTTGTTGGTTACAATTCTTCTGAAGCATGCTGGCTAGGTTACCCTGCTTGCTGCAGTGTGCTAGTAAGTTGCAAACAGGGCCAGTGTATGCTGGCCTCTTCCCTCTGGATCAGTCAAGCTGCTAAGGCCTTCACTGTATTGCTGTGCACCACCTCCCCTCCGAGTCAGTCAAACTTCTTAGGCTTCACTGCATTAGTGTGTACCGCCACCCCTAGGGAATTGATTTCAGATAACCTATTTGGTCTCAGCCAGGTCACATGACCCAGGCCTACCTCACTCCACCAACCCCATTTGGGAAGGGAACAACTGACTGAAGTCACTGCTGCACCTTGTACTTGCCAGTCCTGCCAGGTCCCAGAATGTCATCCGCCAGAGCCCCCCTTTCTGTGGAATGGCTTCAATCCCGTCACTCACCACAGGTCGATGCAGGCTCCCTGCCAGTTCAGCTTTCTGTTCAGCTGGCCGACCCCTGACCTCAGTGTAACTGCGCCTCCAGTGAGTCAAAGTGGCAGGACCTTGGATGGCTCAGCAAGTCACCTGCTGCAGTGGGAGCACTGAACCTTTAGCTGTTCCAATAGTAGCCCCAGGAATGTATGTTTGTTGGTTCTTCTCACCTTGGTTTCTTCTTGGGATGAGAGAATTCATCTCCCTCTGTTTAGGACTCCCCACACTTTATTATGTTAATTCTAAGTTGACTATCTCAGGGAGCCTCTGTAGCCAGCTGTTATCTATCCACCATCTTTGCTCCCTCCGTTTACTATTCTTTTGATTTTATTTCTGGTGCTCAGGAGTGAGCCCAGGGCCACTGACCTGCAGCACCTGTCACTTGTTAAGATCATCAGTTACGTCCATCAGTCTCAGTGTGCTCACCATTAAACAGCAGTAGTAGAGCTGTCCTCTTTGCAGAGGCTTATGTGGAGAGTGAAATAAGGTGATGAACACGAAATTTCCAGTGGGCTTCACAAAGCCGTGCAGCCTCTAATAGCATCATTGACATTGTTCTCCTTTTCTCGCTGTTAGGTAGGATGTGGTCAGTCTCCAGGCAGGGATTTATCCAGTCATTTTGTATTCATTTATTTACCATGTTCCATCCTCCCCAGTGGGGACTACATCTTATCTTTACCCAGGGAGGGGCGTTTGTCCACATGATAAGTGGGACCAAGCTCAGGACTGCACATTTTGAGGACCTGTGTACTACGGAGCAATGCTTTGTGCATTATTAAGAAAACAAGTTTGGAAAGGAAAATGAGGACACCCGCAAAAATATCTTAACCATCTGTGAATGGTGTTTTACTGAGAATTTCTCTCATATTTGTCTTTCCTTGCGTTGTCTGTCAGCATGTGGCTTGTGAAGATTTCGTATTTGCTGATTTCCAGTCACTTGTGAGTAGACATATTTCTCACAAGTATGGAGAGGATCATTGTCACTGCCCATGTTGGCACAGGAAAGTCAGCAAAATCCCAAAATGTACTAAGTCTTACTATGCACAACAGGTTTGCTCCAAAGATTACAGATATCGGTATAAATGAGAAAAAAGGAAATTTAAAACAGAAAAATGGAACAACTCTCGCAATACATGAAGAAAACCTTTCCTGCTCCCGAAGAGGCTTCTCAAGTTTCCATGCTGAATTCGCCTTTGCCTCTAAATAAACTGAACAATGATTTGTGTTTTGCAACCATGTGAAAATATTTTTCAGGTTATCAAGAACATTACCTTTGTTTTAAAGATGAGTTCTAGACCTAACCTTTTTTATGAACTAAAGTAAAAGTGTTCAGCATTATGCATGTTAAACTTGGTGAAATTTGTATTACAGTTTCTGTTTCTTTTCTTTTCCATTAGGTTCTTGTTCATTCTCTTAGGTCCTAAGGGGAAAGCCAAGTCGTACCATGAGATCGGCAGAGCCATTGCAACCTTGATGTCTGATGAGGTAGGGATGGGAAGCCAGGGTGCTGTGACCGTCCTCCTGCTGCTTTCTTACTGAAGGTCAGCGTATCCACAAACACACCAGCACACTTCATTCACTGCAGCTGTGCAGGCAGCAGGCCTTTGTGTGATTCGAGGTACAGTTGGTGGATGACACCTATGGAGTAGAATTTTTAAAAGTCATGTGTGCATTTGTCTGCAGTAGATTTAACTCAGTGTTGGAAGAAAACACATAAACATAGTTTCCTTTTCCTTTTTTATTGGAGGTACTGAGTATTGAAACCAGGGGAAAATGTTCTATCATTGAGATATCCCCAGTCTTTCCCTTCTTTTTCTGAACATTTTTAAATCTTTTAAAAACTGAAAATATTTTTACTTGACATAACCTTTTCTCAGGTTAAAGTCTGATGTTCCAATGCATGCATACAGTTTGTGATTAGCTGAGGCATGGTAGGCTAAGTATGGTTGGAATTAATTGTTTCCAATGGCTAGGAAAAAGGATTTTGAATGTTCCCAATGACATACACATCTAAGGAGATGGATGTGCCTTTATCTTGATTAGATCATCACATATTTTCAGCTCTTAAAACTGATGTATGTTAAATATTCTTTAAAACATTCGAGGTCACTGTAATAACTTTACCTCTTAAAGTGTTTAATATATTAATTCTTAGAATTGAAATAATCTACTATACTATAATATACTATATGGCCATATAGTATATTATTTTGGAAATCATGTTTTATATAACAACGCATAGGTAAATGGATCGTGTATTTTTCTTAGGTATTAGAGAACACATATTTTTATGGGTTTCTTGCTTCGTGGGAAGTATGATATATATTATACTGCTTCAGCTACAGTCACTGCACAGTTTCTAGTACTTCGGAATTGTGATCTCAGTCACTCTCGTAATAGCTAGGGTGTTGTATGTGCATTTGAGGTTTACTAAAACTGAGCTATTCTTATGGTAGTAGAAATACTGTTGGATATAGTATCATTAATTTTTGTTTCCATGTCTTTCTAACTTTCTATATTTCCAAGTGTTTTGCTTTTATGTCATTACTTGATGTTGATTTCCCCACATTTTAGGTAGAGAACTAACACTTCTCCACAAAGGCTTTGTGTGTTGATAACGCAGGTGGTTGCCTTTTTCTGGGTTTGAAAACTTTGCAGTATAAGAATGCTGTTATTTTTCCCTTGCGGGAACACTTTTTCCTTTGCTTGTAGTAAATTCATTTGTTTATTTTTGCATGTTTATAGTTTCCTTATTTTTTAAAAGTCTTTCTCTGGAGGTACATTAACTAGGAATGCTTCAGGGTACAATTTACGGCTTATAGTGGCTTAAGCAGTCTGGGGTTAGTGTTCTCATGTAACAGAAAGTCAGGAGGTAGATAGTGGCTGAGGTTCATTTGACTTAACTGCTTAGAGATCAGCAGAGAGCTAAGGCTCTTTTTAAGATGGCAGTTCATCCCATCAGTACTGTGAAAAGTGTGGAATGAGCTCATCATTTTGTGTCCAGTCAGCATAGGACAAAAGGGTAGAGGAGTGTGAGGTGTATGGCCTCTCTCTCTCTCTCTCTCTCTCTCTTTCTCTTTTTGTTAACCAAGTAATCTAAAGTTTTTCCAAACAACCTTTCTCTTCTGTCACGTGGGCTGGAGCTGTCAGTCTTTGTCCAGGGTTGGCTGGGGAAGTGTGTGTCACTCTCCAGTCTCTGTGGTAGCAATAGCAAGAGAAACTGAAGTGGACTTGGCAGTGTCTGCCATGGGACGGGCCAGACCTTTGATTGCCCTCTGCCAACTCCACAGTCCCCAAGCCATTAAATTGTTATTCAACTGATAGCTTTAAAAATGCCTTTCTAGAATAGATTCAGTAGAAATGTACAAGTTGGTAAAGTGTTGAACGGGGAACATTTCTTCTGGAAGCTAAATGATTTGACTTATGAAGTATGAAAACTTTGGTTGATATGTGCAGAACTTCCAGATGTTCACCTTGGTTAGAAGACTGAAAGCTGACAAAAGGATGGTGTATCTTTTGGGAATTCCTGCTATGGAGCTTGCTCCTTTGGATAGGTTAGCTTTTACCTTGCTAAAGGGAGACATATGATCATATAAGTAGATTATTTTATTTTGTGTGTTGCTGATACAACCTAAATTTTAATCTTTTTTTAGTAGTGCATGTTGTTTATGTGTTTGAGAACCACAGTGTTTTTAGTCTTCATCTGATCTTAATACTTAGCTTGGACTTTTTCTTCTTGAATTACCAGCAGTTGTTTGCCCCAGTAGTTTTTATATCAGGGAGTGACTCTTTATTGTCTATCTCCAAACTGTATTCATCTGGCTCTTCAGCAACTCTACAGGGAGTAGTACCAAAGGAGTTCTACTGAAAGGCATGGCATTTTACAGTATTGATAGGGAAAAATCCCATTTAAAATAGTTATTTCCCCATCTCCACTATATTCTTTGAGTTCATTGTAAGAATACATAAAATCCCTAGAATAGGTGAGCAGCATAGTTCAATGTAAAACACTGACTGGCTTGCATAAGTCTCTGATATCCAGCACCACAAAATCAAAATTAAAAATAAGTATTTTGGAGCAAGCCGAACAATATAGAATATAAGAATATTCTCTGATAATAATGTCAGTGAATTATGGATTACATTTTTCAGCTCAATGAGGTGTGGGTCGAGCTGACAGTTCCCTTGTTGGACTGACACTTCTGTTACCTTTTTGTAGGTTTTCCATGACATTGCTTATAAAGCTAAAGACAGGCATGACCTGATCGCTGGGATTGACGAGTTCCTGGATGAGGTCATTGTCCTTCCGCCGGGAGAGTGGGACCCAACTATCAGGATAGAGCCTCCCAAGAGCCTTCCGTCATCTGACAAGAGGTAACTTCTGGGCAGCTGGGAGTTTCAAGGGGCCAGGACACTCCCGGGGCTGTGTTTGTATCTGGGAAATAACAGTGAGGTCAAGTTGCTGCCCTAATATTTTTAGATTCCTATGAATGTATTGCTTCATGGGAACCATTTACAGGTCATGGTTTCACATATCCTTGACACTATAAAATAAATGTTTAATGTTTTGATTTTCTTCAGTGTTTACAAATTAGAGAGCTCAGATCCTGATGTTTGCATGTATAATGGACTCTTTTGAGAGGGTTTTGGGGATTCCTGTACATGAGGAAGAATTAGTTTATTCAGAATGAGTCTGCAAAAATATAAGATGGTGAGAAATTGAATGAGGTAGTTGAGGAGAACCATTTCCTGGAAAATCTCTTATTGTTCTGTGAAAGTGTCCCTCTTACACACTTAGTTCAGCTTGTCTCTTTATCCAAACCTTGGTCTTGACTCTAAATATGACACTTTAAGAACTGTGGCTTACCTGGATAGTATCAGGTTCGAAAGTTTAGGCATCAGCTGAGAAGATAATGAGATTCATTATAACGCCCATTCTCGTTGACTTTTATCTACTTTTGAAGACCTACAATGTCTCCAATGTTTTGGTTTTGTCGGTTTTGTTCTTTACTATTTTGTTCAATTGCATTATAACTAATGCTATAGGCAATTCTATTAGAGATAGCGGGAGGCATTATGGTAACCATTGATGATTACCTTGTATTATGTTTTTATATTACCTATTATGTCCACCCTTTTGACTTGACCGATTCTGTCCTGTTATGTCTCATTTGGTTTTACTCTCTTCCAAAAAAGCAATAAGAACCGTGCGAGCAATGAAACCCAAAATGTGTAATAGTCATTGTACAAAAGAGAGGAAAAGAAAGTGCTCTAAACTATATAACTGCATGTATATTTAAGTGTATAAGATAGGAAATGATATCACAGAGTTTTATTGGATCATTGAACAGAACTGTTTGCAGTATCATTGTTGGAATGTCCACTCTACAAGCTTTAATTTTGTGACTTGAACAATTATTTTTAAGATGGCAATATGTAATCCATTAACTAGTGATTTCCTACTGTTCATTTTTTTCTTCTGTAAATCTGTATAACTTGTACCCTTTCACTGTTTTTTTTTCTTTTCTCCTTAAATAAAAAAAAAAAGAAAGAAAAAAAAAAAAAAAAAAAAAAACTGTGGCTTAGAGTAGCTGGAAGGCCTGATGCAGGTTTTCACTGTCTTCCCATTAGCAGGTGCTTGAGTCAGCCGGGAAGCAAATGAACGAAGTAAGCTAATCTCTGTGTGGCCTCTGTTGTCTTGCTCAGGAAGAACATGTACTCAGGTGGAGATAATGTTCAGATGAACGGGGATACACCCCATGATGGCGGCCACGGAGGAGGAGGCCACGGGGACTGTGAGGAGCTGAAGCGGACTGGACGGTAACTGACGGGTCCTTTTGCCATTCACGAGAGGGCTTTCTTTGGATCTGAATTTCCTGTCTCCTTTCTGAGCTTGCTTTCCTCATCTTTTTGATTCCTCTTTTCATTTATTCAGGCAACAGATACTTTAGTGCACCTAGAGGTCACAGGCACGGGGAAGGCAGTGAATCAAAAGTGATGGTGCCATGAGGGCCTCCTGATGGGAATGCGGTCTTTCAGATCCGGTGGGGTGGGAGAGGAAGCCAACGGGATGGCAGCCTTGGCAGAGGAGGTCGAAGAGAGGCAGGCAGAGTGTGTGGCAGGTGACACTGGACTGGCGGCTGGAGGACGATGCAGGGTATTGAGACAGTCACACTGGTGGCGGGTGAGTGTGGTGGCAGGGACTGGTAGGTGAAGTGTAGCCTGCCCACACAGTCTCTACCTCAGCCTCGTGTGTCTGTGCCCAAGTGAGTAAGCACCATCAGTGTGAGTGGCTCTCGGACCCGTGCTCTGCCCCCTTGGCTGGCCACAGTGGACATCCTGGCATCCTAGGAGGGCACAGAGCCTTTCCTTTCTGATTCTGAGCCCTCGGGTTCTCCTTGTCTCTGTGGGTTAAGTAAAATTTTAAGTAGGATACTAAAGATAATGCTTTTTGAAAAAACACATTGAGATTTTAAAAGACAAACGTGTGTCATTTTAATATGCAGTAAAATCTAAAAAGATGAAGTTGTTTTCCTCTCAAAATGAACCATGTGGATCTTTTTTTTTCTTAGAGAACGAAAAACCAGACCTTCTCCCCACCTGCCCCGCCTGCCCCGCCTGCCCCGTTTCCAGTGAGCAGTGCACTGTGGAGCGTGGGGATGTGTCTGGGGATTGTGGTGTTTGGTGATGTTGGCATTGTGCACGCACCACAGGCAGACTGGGGTGGGGTGGCTCAGGGGAGGTCAGTGGAGCCCTCAGTGTAATTACAAGTCAAGTTTAACAGCAGGATGTGTGAGGCAGGTGCCATGTAGGGAGTGCACTGTCTTACCATGCCCTGTCAGTGCGTGGGAGTATACTGGAAAGTGCAGATCAGGGCAGCTCCGAGGCCCCTTGTCACAGCGGGCGCTCTGGGCAGAAGCCATGCATTCTGGGAAGGCGGAGCTGCAAGATTTGCTTTGGGGGAGCGGCTACCCCACCACCCAGCTGCCCCGCTCACCTGCCCTGCCAGGGCTGGGCCACCCCTCTTGCGTAGCTCAGCTGTGTGCCGTCTCCCTTGGTTGCTGCAGGCCTTCACCCCAGAGTCAGCTTCCAGGGGACCCATTCTGCCACCACATCTGAAACTTCAACTATTTCTTCCCCACTTAATCGGTCCTGTTTTGCTTTTACTGATTTACCTTTTTACCTTTCCCGTGTCTCCTGAAAGCAGACTGCACACATTGAGGCCTTTGGTCAGTGTGTTTGCTTTTGTGTCCCAGAACCCAGAACAGTGCTGTGGTGGGGGCATGTCGTGGAAGTGAGCCTCTGCAGTGAGCGTTTGTAGCAGAGATGGGACTGGGAAGGGTGCTGTGGAAGGGTTGCAGCGTACCTCAGATGACCTGCTCACACACTGAGGTGTTTTCTGTTAGGAATGAAAGACCTCTCATCTAAAGACCAGCTGGGTGATGCTGGGGGAGTTTGGCACCTGAGTGGTGACTGAAAAAGAGAAGAAAATTTATTCCTGTGCATTTTTCTGGTCTCCACTTAAGTGGTTAAGTTGTATCTTGTCATTGTCTCAAGTGCTAAAGCATAGACTATTTTTGGTTTGGTAGACCTCACTGGCATTTACTTTATGTTTGCTCACATGTATGTTTGCTGTCTCCCTGTCCAGGTTCTGTGGCGGATTAATTAAGGACATCAAGAGGAAAGCGCCATTTTTTGCCAGTGATTTTTATGATGCTTTAAATATTCAGGCTCTTTCAGCAATTCTCTTCATCTATCTGGCAACTGTGACTAACGCCATCACTTTCGGAGGCCTGCTTGGGGATGCCACCGACAACATGCAGGTGGGTCTCGTTTGGAGAGGCTGCAAATAGTACAGCCCAGATTGTCGCCTCACCCCTGAGCTCTGTGGGAAGCAGATGGCCTTTCAGTTACTCAGCGCGGTTTTCTTGGTCTTGGGGGGATGCTGCATTTCACTTTGCTTCTGGCGTGGTGCTGTATTTCCAGCATGTTAGTAATTACAGAAATAGCTCGATGAAATCTGGCTTGAGTCACAAGTGGAGAAGAGAAGGGGAGGAAATGAGGATCCACATCTATTTGGGCAAAGAGTATCAGCTGCTTCATTTTTGTGCAGTGCACAAAGTTTAGGTCTGCTGCTACCCTGAAAGTACAAAGCCAGCTCTGGGGAACTTGGAAATGACTCTGCGGTGCATACATGATTACCTTCCTTGCTTCACCTTTGTTTTTATGTGAGCAAATAGAGTCATCAAACACTGCAGTGATTGCTCCCAATAGAATTCAGCATAACTAATACAAGCCGCAAGTTGTTTCTTCTGTACTTGGACCTGTCTCTCATTAAGCTGTAAGGATTCTGCACAGCTGATTTGGAACCATTAATTGTAGTCACAACTTGTTGGTTACTTTGAATGTAGTGTTTGTCTTCCTTTTGCATTGATAATAGCTACAGGTTTAATGAAAGAAAAGATGTCTTCAATCAATCAGAGCAATATGTACAAAAGTACATTAGTCAATAAATATATATACTATAAATATGAATATACACTATGCTAGGGACTGTGTACACAGTGGTAAATGAAGCTGATACTCTAATTAAAAGAGCTCAATTTAAGCCCTTTTCAAATTATCTCCGCCCACTTTACTATTTATTAATGTTTAATCAATGTGATGTTTGTAAATGCTGCCAGTCAGCTTTTCTGAATGGTATTAATTTTAAAAATTACTTTTGTTTCATTTCTTTTTTCTTCTCACTTGTATTTTAGATTTCTCCCTGCATGCAAAAAGAAGATGGTGGATATCTATACACTTGTGTTGTTCCCAATATAAAGGGAGAAGTTACTTTAGACAATTACTGCATTTTAGGTTAAAATGCCTTGTCTGTTAGTTTTGCTGCATAACCTGTTGTCCTCAAACATAGAGGCCGGAGGTGACTATTTTATGTCATTTTGCATGAGCCTGTCAGCTAAATGGGTCTTTCTTTGATTCTTCACATGCTTTGCAGTCAACCTCAGGGGTTGATACCACCCAATGGCTTTCGACTCAGTGTGGTCACCTGAGCCGGTGTGCCTGGACACCTGGGGTCCGGAACTCTCCACACAACTTGTCACATGTCTGGCCTGGTCCTCCTTGCAGTATGGGAACAGTGATGACACTCCAGAACTCACACTCCACTGTCACTCGAAAGAGGAGTTGCCATTCATCTCTGTTTGTTTCCATGTGAATGTCCTCAAATTTGCTTCACTTTCTGATTTTCAAAGAGAAGCTGGAAATTCAAATTTCAGTGATATCTTGTGACTTTTAAGTATTAACAACAAGTAACATTTTAAAAAAAAAACACATGGTGGCCAAAGCATACTTATCTTTGTATTATCCACGAGAGGCCATCAGCATAGGTCCTAGAGACCAAGCATGGGACACAGACATGAATGCACAAAGAGACCATCTCCCCATCTCCCATCTCTCTCTGCCTTTTGCGCATCCCTAAGATGGAAACAGATGACCTGTATTGTGATGTCAGCAATGGGAGTTTTAGAAGCTCAGATCCATGTTCACGCTGGGCAGCTCTTCCTCACTGAGATGGCCATGTAATGATCACTGTCACACATCATTCAAGAAAGGAAGTCAGCACGCCAAGGCCAGCAAGCAGAAGATAGTACAGGCAGCCACCTGTAAAGAAAATAGCCTAAACCTGTGATTTTGAGAGGGGGTATGAATAAGACTACCTCTGTCTATCGGGATGGAAGAGACCTTATGGAGATAATTTTTAACATTTTTTCAGGGTTGTTCTCATCCAGGTGAGGCTATTGTAGTACTTTCCTGTGTGTGAACTTACTCCCTTTTTGAGTTGGATTGTTATGCTTACAGCTTCTCAGACTGAGCTTTGGAATGTAGCCTCAGAGACAGGGAAAGCAGGTTGAAATCTGTTCTGACCTCTCCTTTGGAAATCAATTCCCATCTGACTGAGTGCTTAGGAAAAGGCTTTGCCATGACCTGGCATGGCTATGCCAGTGAAATTAGCTATGTTCTGGTTTTGAAGATTTCAGAAGAAACATAAATGGTTTGGTGCATCAGAATGCTACGTAGTACACTAAATAACTTTTCTGGATATCACTTTTGGGAGTTGTTAACTCAAAAATGATGCAAACTTATGATAACATTTTCCAGACATAATTTATTTGATGAGTAGATTTTGTAACTGTCATTGATAATTTAGATAAAACGTGTTGTTTTGAAGGTTTTTATGAATGGTGAAATACTGAAGAAGGTTCTTTCTGTTCCACTTTGGAAGCCTGTTGTTCCACTAAGAACTATCTTGGTTGTGTCTTCTTCCTTAACTCTGATTCGGCTCTTCCAGTAGTCACAGCAGGTGGCAGAAACACTGGAAAAGAAGGATAAAGAAAATGAATTGTTGTCAACATGTTCAAGGATAGAAACAAAATGACTGTTAACATATTTTTGTGGAACAGAAATTCAACAACTAGTTTTACCTATTTGTCGAGGAGTATCTTATGATCAAAAAGGTGCGCACTTTACTGTGCACCATTTTTGGTGCCATGGCAGTTGGGACTTTACATCAAAACAACAGGGCCGTTTGTGTAAGGTCTAGGTCATTTCACAGATCTCAGCAAGAGGTTCATTTGTTCCGCTGTAAATATTTATGGGGGGTCTTTTATGCTGTAGGCATTGTTTTAAGTGTTGAGAATATACAGTTAGGTGAGCAAAGTAGATAAAAATCTCATTGTGATGGTTCTTTTAGCTTAAAATGAAAGTGATCATTCCCCCTGGCCGCTCCTCCCAAGATATTGGTGGGTGTGTTTAGGGGGGTGATGTCCCCCGCTTCATTTGGCTTTCTGTACACTAGACCAAGACTAAGCAGAAAGCCTTGGCAAGACTTGGAAAGTCTTCCACTGAGTCACATCTTCCTAAATGAGGCAGTGGGTTATGCACACAGCACAGGCAGCACCCATGAGTCAGCTGGAAGCGTGTCTTTGCTTTATAGACAGACAGCTAAGAGATAGTTCACACGGGGCTTATTGTCAGGCTACAAATAGACGTGAGTGCTGGTGGAGACATGTTGTGCAAACACAGATGAGTCACCACGCAACTGTTGTCTAAGTCAGCTCTTCTGCCAGCTTCTGTTCAGAAGGTCTTGCCTGCTAGAAGATAGGAATTTATATTTAAGCGTTTATTTCAGACCTGATAGCTGACGAGATGCCCATCATTAGAAGCACGTGATGCTGGGAACTATGTGGAAACTATGTACAAGATAAAATAGTTGAGGCTTTGATGGCTCAAGTATAACTCAGTTGTGATGCCACTATAAATGTCCACATGAATCCCCCAACTTTGCCATGTTTATTTTGCCCATCAGCTCTGGGAGGACTGTGGGGCTTACTAGGTGGGATTCATAAATTTCTTGCTAAGCATGAGCAATTAGAGTTATGTTTGGGCTTGTGAGTGTAATGAACCACTTTGTTAAGAGTCAGCCTTTGTTCAGCTAAGATCTAACCCCAGCTTGAACCTACTCCCTCTTCTTAGAGCTTCGGCTTGCTGGAGTCCAGTAACAGCACTCACTCTTACCCTTTCCATGAGTGGCATCAGCACTGCAGTGTCTCATTGCTGCAGTGGCAAGGTGACAAAGCTTTGCGGCACTGTGATGCAGTGTTGGGCCTCTTCTACAGCTAAACTGTCTCCAACCTCAAACAGCAACTCATGACTGTGTATTTGTATTCTTGGTTGCCAAACAAGAATATAGCTCCATTCATTTAGATGTTTCTAATTAAATTGTTATGTGTCAGTGTATGAATATATTCCACCAGGATATATTGCAGTTGAGCTTTCATTCAAGATATTACCTGAACAGAACCTCAAATCAAACTAAACACCTATTTGTGTATTGATGAGTCCCTGGGGCTGATACTGGCATCAGGAATAATTTTGGATGCTCTGTGGCAATTTCAAAATTGTTCTCCTTAGCCTTTCAGAATATAGAAAAGCACTTTAATTTAAATCTACATTTAATTGTGAATGACTAAGCACAGTCTAGCATGAAGACAGAGTGGAGAAAGTAATTTTGAATTTTTTCCAAGAGTAAATGTAATCCTGTTTTCACAAATCTTTTAGCAAAAGGATGTGGTAAGATTTCAGAATTTTGTAAATTTTATGATATTCATGGAGTCCAACAGAACACATTTTGAGGGAACTTGTCTTATTATAAGTAACAGTTATAGCTGGCATCTCCAGATTTGAGGCTTTATTTTAACATGCTGCTGTGCTCAAAATTTTTAATCAATTTGCTTGAGTTGGAAATGTATCATTTCTTATGCACATGTAATATTCCGCAATACCATAAACACTTCTTTCTAAATACTACAACTTACAACAAAAAATTAAAACAAATTGATAATTATTTTACTGTATTGAGAATGTGCAATAATTTCATTTTACCTATGCATTTCACTTGGCACCAAAATGCATTTCCTTTTTGAAATGGAGGTACAGACTGACATGTTCATCTCTGCTAGCAACATACTCTAGTTTGAAAAAGTTAGGTAGGTACAATCTGTCAGAAGGACGCTCTTTGATTATTCTGGTCAGCAAAATTAAGCCTGTTTAGTGACAGAGAAACACTTCTGCATTGCTTAGTTGTCAGTAAGATTTACTGGCTGATGCTTGTTTGAGACAGAAACTTTAGGTCATATGCTTTTGACATTCTGAATTAAACTTGCTTTGTGTTTTGTTCTTTTGTTTTTCTTAATTTGAATGCCTTTATCACCTCCCCTCCATTTTGGTGATCAGAAAATGATAGAGATTTGGGCAGCATTAG